CAAAACGATGACAAAATGATGCTGTATCTCATAAAAATCCACACTGAACAGACAAATGCTGGTACTGAATATCTCAACAAAAATTCAGATAAATTCAAGGTTCAGATTCAACCTCAAACAAGCACAAAAGGTGTAACAAAACAGATTCGAAACTAACGGACAACTGGAAAATGAACTCTCTTACACACCCTTTTTTCACTATTTCTTCTCTTCCTTCTCAGCCTCAGCGGCCCTCTTAGCCCTAATACCAACATGGCGCTCGTTCATCCTCTCCAGACGAAGCTTGTCATAAGCCTTGAACGATTTCATCTCATTAGTAACCTTAACAAGCTCAACAGTTGGCTTCTCACGTGCAATCGGCAAGTAAGGACCAGAGACTTGTGTGGCCGTAGCCAACTCCTCAGCAGTAGAATCACCAGCCTGTCACACACAAAATTGGTAAATATGTGAATTTATGAATTGTTCATGGTTGTCAATCGATTATCTATATGGAAAAGAGTTCAAAATTTACCTTAAACTTGCGCGCGCGTCTCGGGAAGACAACGAGCTTGGCCTTGTATGTCTTCAACCTCTGGACATTGGTCTGAAGACCCTCCAATGAACGGTTTCTACGCCTATGGTCAACCGAGATGCCAATAGTTGGGGCGAGTTTTTTCGGGATTCCAGCAGCCTGGAGGCACGAATCAAACTTATTGAATAAAAAATGTACATAAAAAGCAACATAAGGTAAAAAAGATGATGAAATAAATACTATAACCAAACAGCTTTTCTATACACAGACAAATGGCAACCAGATAATTGACTGAAATTGTGCAAAAGTTTACAAGGTTCACCTTCAGCTCCTCCAAAGAGAATCCCCTACCAGCTCTGACCTTCATGTTATACTTCAAGGTCTGCCCATGAACAATAGGACGAAGGGGTCCAGCTGTGGGCCTGGGGAAAATCTTCACAGCTTTCTTCTGTCTTGCTGTAAAGACACCATTGGAAGAATATATGAAGTTCCGTATGTTACATTTTGTTCGAGATAAATTAAATAAAAAAGATAGAAGGTACTATTAGAAGATATTGTTACCAACTCTTCTCCTGTGCTTGCGGGCAGGCTGGTTGAACCAAGTTTTGACATAGTTTTGCCAGTGCTTCCTGAAGTGGGAACTGGGCACAACATTGTTGTGCTTCACCATGGCTTACCTAAGTACACATATAACAAATATGATAAACTGTACCAGGAAATCCACAAAACAGGTATAATGTTAACAATGGCAGATGGCGAAAAATGGTAGCAGGCTGAAATCTCTCCATAGCAGCCTGTGGCACCACCATAACCGCCATTCTTCACAAATTTCTAGTGGCAGTTAGGCAGAAATCCACCACCAACGAAAAAATATTCAAAACAAGATAGCCTAGACCGCAATAGTTTCACTTAAAAGAAAACCAATTACAAAAACAAAACAACAACTATAACATAAGTATAAAAGTTAAGGGCAATGTTTAACACGCAGACAAACCACTCAGACATTCTCCATCTGACTGGTGACAATATACATATCAAAGGCAGCTTAATTATAGCTGCAGATCAACAGTAAATAAGTTGAACTTGAAACATATCAAGCTGCTGACAAACTCATAAACACGAAATGTGCATGTGAAGTTGTGTAGAAAAGCCAACATAACTCTTCATATTGAAGATAGCCATTGATCATTAACCAGAGCCTCTGACAAAACAAGTACCAACGGAAAACCCCAGCTAACAGGATAGAACTCGAAGATAGATAAAGAAGAATAAACACACGAATCACGAAGTTACAACAATAAAGAGCACAAATTCAGAAAGAACACGTCGATTAAGAATAATAAAGAAATACAGAATAGGCTTTACGTAGAGTGCAAAAATTAGGAACAAGCCATATTTCCATACAACAAAAATTAAGAACAGGCCACATTCCTCGCAACAAAGGAAGCAGATTCAATTATCTCATAAACACTACCTTAAGCTCGGTTATATTACAGAAACATACAAAAATATCAGATTCGATCGCCTAGACTTTCTTTTCAAACTGTGAATACAAGGAACGATAATCTAATACGAAGAAGAATGATAGATACCTCGAAGTTAAGGTTGGCTGCGCCGGCGATTTGCAGAACGAAGAGTGTAAAGGGGTTTCAGGCTCTGCTGAGAAATGAAGATCGGGATTTTATATACAGCTCGAGAGAAACAAAACCCTAGGTCTTTGACGGGTTTTTGCAGTTTATGGGCCGCAAATGAAATAGTAGTTATTATAGAGTCCATTTCATAGTCCATATGATAACTGAACCTTGATGTGAACAGGCTCAATGAATTCTTTACATTGTGGCCCACTTTTCAGTCCAAGCCCAAATATCGAATTACTCGAAGAAATTGGAGTATTGGATTGAATCATGTATTACAAAGTTGTTTTGTTGG